CTATCTTGTAGGGTTCAAGAAGAAACAAGTGGAATACTTGATGGATTTTCATTATCTTCGATAGATGTAAACGATATGCAACTGGATTGATTTGTGCAGAAATAGAAAATGGTCCCAGCCTTCGATAGTCCAACTTGTCGCAAGGACGAGTGGTCTTGATATTACGACGAAGTAGCCATACCTTATCACCCACGTTGAGTTGTGGTTGCTCTTTACGATATACATCTGTATTTTTCTTTTGTCGTTCTTGAGCTTCCTTCAATTGCGCCTTCATTATTGCATGTAACTCTGACAACCGATTTGCCATATCTTCTGCTGCAGGATTATCAACTTTTGAAAAATCAAAAGTATCAAGTTGTAGATGATAGCCATAATTGGCAAAGAAAGGTGTTTGTTGCGTGGAAGAATGTACCGTATTATTATAAGCAAACTCTGCCAATTTCAGAAAGGTTGTCCAATCATCTTGTTGATAGTTGATAGTACACCTTAAATATTGCTCCAAGACTTGGTTTACGCGCTCTGTTTGTCCATCAGTTTGAGGATGGAAAGTCGAAGATAGCTTTATGTCCACTTTTAAAATCTTGAAAAGGGTCCTCCAAAATCTCGACACAAATTGAGTTCCCCTATCTAATATGATATCTTTAGGTAATCCATGATAGCGATAGATAATATCAATGAAAAGCTTAGCTGTTTCTTCACCTGTGATAGATTTTGTACATAGCACAAAATGTGCCATCTTGGTGAAATGATCTACTATCACAAATATAGAATCATAAGATCTTGAGCTTGGAAGATCTGTGATGAAATCCATAGAAATACAAGACCATGGTTGTTCTGGTATAGGTAATGGCTGAAGAAGTTCATAAGGTCAATGACGAGGAATTTTTGATCTTGAACAAATATCACATGATTGTACAAAGTCTTTGACTGACTTCCACATTTGTGGCCACCAAAAATCTCTTGATATGAGTTCTAAAGTCTACTTATATCCAAAGTGCCTTGCTGCTGGAAAATCATGACGTGCTTGAAGAACACGTAAACGTGCTTCTCCTTCTGGAACATATAGGCGTCCTTCAAAATATAATAGATTATTCTTGAACTCGAATTTGAAAGATCATGAGACTTGGAAGAATTATTCTCGATAACATGAACAAGAGGGTCTAAGGACATACTGGACTGGATTTGCTTGAGAAAAGTTGAATCAACAGTCAATGTTGATTTCATTGCTCGGAGATGAAATTGCTCCGGTTTCAAGAGGACCGTTCTTTGTTGCTCAAAAGCTACATCTCCTTCTTTTGGTACAAAATAAGAACATCTAGACAATGCATCGGACAAACCTTGTTGTTTTCCTGGCCGATAAGTGATAATGAACTTGAATCTTGACAAAGACATACTCCAACGAGCTTGACGACGATTCAACACGCGTGCTGACATGAAATACTCGAGGTTCTTGTGATCTATATATACAGTGACTGGACTAAAATCGCCTTCTAGATAATGACGCCATTCTTGAAAGGAATCCACGATCGCAAGAAGTTCTTTATCGTGGATCTCATAATTAATCTCGACTGCTGAGAATTTTCTTGAATGAAAAGCTATCGGATGAAGTTTATCATCTGTTCCCATTTGTGATAAAACTGCACCCAAGGCAAAATTTGATGCATCTGTTTCCATAAAAAATGCCTTGGAAAAGTCAACACGATATAAGACTGGTGTAGAGACAAACGATGTCTTCAAGGCTTCAAATGCTGCTTCCGCTTCTTGTTTCCATTGGAATTTATCTCTACTAGTCAAGCGTGTAAATGGAGCTGCAACTCGTGAGAAATCTTTGATGAAGATCCGATAGTAATTGGCAAATCCCAAAAAACATTAGACATCTCTTACTGTCCTTGGAAGTTTCCAATCCATGATTGTTTGGACTTTCTTAGAATCCATCATGAGACCATCATTTGAAATGATGTATCCTAAAAAGTCAACTTGAGTAGTGTGAAATACACACTTTTCCATCTTGGCGTACAATCCTGCATCTCTAAGTTTTTGTAATACTTGATGAATATGTATTTCATGTTCTTCGACGTTCTTAGAATAGATTAAGATATCGTCTAGATAGCAGACGACAAAATTGTCTAAGAATTCACAAAATACATCATTCATGAGATGTTGAAAAGCAGCTGGTGCATTCGTGAGTCCAAAGGACATGACATTATATTCGAAATGTCCATACCTGATTCGAAACGCAGTCTTCCATTCATCTCCTTCTTTGATCCATACTAGATTATATGCTCCTCTTAGATCTATTTTTGTATAAATCTTAGCTTGATTCAACTGGTCAAGGAGTCCTGATATCAAAGGTAATGGATACCTGTTCTTGATTGTGATCTTGTTGAGTCCTCGATAATCAACACACATTCGTAAAGATCCATCTTTTTTCTTTACGAATAGAATTGGAGCTCCTGCTGGAGATTTTGAATGGCGTATGAAATTCTTCGCTAAATTCTCGTCAATATATGTCTTGAGTTTAGCCATCTCATCTTGCGATAAACTGTAAATTGGTCCAAATGGTGGCTGAGTTCCTTCCTTGAGGTCGATTGAACAATCATATGGGCGATGCTCAGGAAGAATATCTGCATTTTTTTTCTCAAAAACGTCTTGATACTCCTGATATTGACTTGGAATGCCACTTGAAGTCTTTACGCTTTCAGAAATAGGTGCAGCATAAATAGCAAAAGTTGATCCTTCTTTTGCTGCGTGTATAAATGCTTTTGCACCTATCAGTACGGATTTTACTATACTAGACTTATAATTTTTTACTTGGTTGGTAGAACTATTAATAACACTCAGAAAAAAATCAAGTTTACGCAAATTTCAATCTATTCGAGGGTTATATTTTTCTAGCCAGGATAAACCTAAAATAACTGGATTGGACAGGGATTTAATTATGTTAAAAGCTATGTAGCTATCATGACCGTCTATTGTTACTTTTATAAGATGAGTTTCATGAGTGACATCTCCAAAAGACAAGGGACGACCATCTATGACTTCTACATGTACTGGTTTAGGTTTCTATACAAAAGGTATTTTACGACTTTTAACAAATTGTTCATCTAAAAAACATGCTGAGGCTCCCGAATCTAATAAAGCAGAGGCTTTGTAATTCTTAGGTTCTAAATATAAGTCTATTATAAAACAAGGAGAGGGTTCTGAGGAGAGGATAGGACCTTCATTAGGAATTGTACAAGGTTCCAGCTGCATAGTCCCTATTGTAGCTGGACGAATCCGTTTTCCGACATGTTGTTTTCTTTGACCATCGTACCCCTCATTTTATAGTTGCGTCGTTTCTTTGGACAATGTTGAGCAATGTGCTTAGGTTCTCCGCAATATAAACATAATCCTTCTTGACGACGATGAATCTTTTCTTGCTCAGTTAGGGGTTTAAAACGTACTGCGTCAATTTGCATGTCTTCTACTTCCGAATGTACGTTTGGCGAAGGTGCTGATGTTGCCATTGAGTAATAACGTTGAGGTTCCCGTGTACGACTCTCGAATCGAAATTCAAAAAGTCGATTGTCACATTTTACCGCAAAATCGATTGCTTGACTCAAAGTTTGAGGATCAAGTAAGTTGAGCATCAATTTCTTTACTTCGTATTGCAATCCATAAAGAAATTGACTGATGAGTGCAGTATCATCTCACTTTTTTTACTAAATAGTTAATTTGAAGTAAATAAATTTAAATAAATCTATTTCGTATAAATCAATATAAACTATATATAAACATAGAATTTTTTATTCTCTCAATACACCTCTAATAACTATTTCATTACTATGTTGTTAATTATAAAATTGTAATTAAATTTTTCTTAGCTAAAAATGAAATTCTTACCCATAGAGTTTAGCCTTTTAGGTCAAAGTTTAACAAATGTAGGAATGAAGCTATTTCTAATCTGATCCATTATTCTACTAAATATTATTATTCGGTATATTAAACTTAACTTTAATATATTTTACATTTTTTTTAATGTTTACATTTTTCTAGCTTTAATACATATCTATAATTTTATAATTTAATGAAGAAACAGCTTTAAAATACTATGTGTTTTTTAAATTGTTACAATAAAGTTTTTATAATTAAATGTTGTATAAAAATTATAAGTACATCATTTAAAGGTACTAAAAATACGTGCCTTCAATTATGAAAATTTAAATAACAGTAATAATAAAAATTTATAATTGGTAATTAATTGAGCTGGCATATATTCTATTAATTAAATTATGTATTTCCAAACATAGCATAGTAAATTATTTTTTAATCCTTTATATTGGACTAATTAATTTCATAAGTATGTTGTGTAATCAAGTATTGATTAAAAATATAGCAAGAGAGATACACTCACAATGTACAAATTCAATTGCACAAATAAGATTAAATACATTGTAAGTGCAATGTATCAATTATGTGAGATTAATATTATTCTGTTATTTATAACGTACTTCAAACATCCCATGCATGTGTATATATTTGAAATGGAAAGTTCACTAATATTTGAGAACTATTCATTATATGTCTCATTATTTTATTATTATTATTATGGGTTTTGTTATTGTATTGGAGATGAACAGTTCGGGGATACTTGCAGAATGGTGAAGTGGACAAGCTCTTTTTGGAATGAATAATTGGAACATTGTGCCCTCCAGGGGGGGATGGGGGGTGGCTGAGAGTATCATTCATTCACCATTGGCGGTTGGGAGAAGGATGCAAATTGGCCACTCGACGGATGTACATATCTATACATCCACCTCATCCCATCCACAGATTAAAACTTCGTCCATCCAATTTTGTACCCTATTTCACCTGGAGAGAGTTATTCTTGTTCCAACTCATCCATTTCCCAGCATCGTCCCGAACCTCAAGATTATGTAGGTTTGGTTTAGGTTAGGCAAATGTTAGGAAGTCGTCACCCTCCTCCCATTGAGGCGGCCTTAGAGAGTTAGCCCTGGAAATATATAAGAAGCTTTGCAACACCGGCCTTGTGTCTACGGTGCCCTCTGCGCTACAGGACAGTGGTGCGGGGTTCTGGTCTGTACAATATCTTAGCTTTGTGGTGCCAATGAGGCCTGGGCAGTATACTTCTGATCGTTCCCAGAGGAGCTCTTAAAGCCTGAAATCTGTAACCCGCGTTCTTTTGATAGTCCCGATTTGTGGAGCATTGTTGCAAGGCTTACTAGGTATGCTGCACTGACTCTGAGTGTTGTCTGATTTCTTTTCCATTCTATACCATGCTCTGTCGACCTCTGCGCCTAATTCGGGGTTACACTGCATTAGTGACTCAGATTACCCATGTTTTTCGTGGACTCGCCTCTATGAGCGTCTATCCTTCTCTCCTTGTTTACATTCCACGGACATTAGTTTAGTGTGAGCCTTATCATAGCCTATGGTCGCTAGTTTAAATAGAGCGTGATCTAGAATTCTAAATCGCTCGTCCCATATCACGGACATTAGTTTAGTGTGAGCCTTATCATAGCCTATGGACGCTAGTTTAAATAGAGCGTGATCTAGAATTCTAAATCGCTCGTCCCATACAAAGTTTGTGCTCATGTTGATGTTTACTGCTAGTGTAGGTAATCACATCTGAATGCAATGGTTCTCTCTAACTCCAAGCTGAAAAGAAAAAAGAGAGAAGAAGCCGCTATCGCTGCTGCTCTTTCATTGCAGTCGGGTAGCGATGCGGTGCGCGCAGAGGATAACTTGAAAGGTGACATTGTTGCTGACAATCCTGAGAAGAAAAAGAAGAAGCATAAGAGGGCGAATTCTAAGACTGCGGATTCTGATGGTCCTGCAAGTGATGTTGGCGGGCTTAGTGCTCGGCCAACATTAGACACTGAAGCTGAAAACGGGTTAGCAGGCAGACTGCAGGGTGCGAAGGAGAAGAGGGATGGCGACGGCGCAGGAGCTTCACCACGTGAAGTTCATGAGTTCCCACCTGCGGAGATAAATGCTGAGGGTACCGAGCGGAGTGCAGCTGGAGGCGTCGCATCCGAATTGTTCGAAGGTCGAACAGGCGATCTTTACAAGAAAAAGCTCAGGAAAAAGCCTCGTTGGGAAGTCGATGAGAACGGGAAGAGAATCAAGCCAGCGAAAGCCCTTAATGACGATCCCAGTAACATGCTTGCATCAACACCCTCTGTTAATGGGCTTAGTCAATCACAGGAACCGAAGACCACATCCGAGAACAAGAAGGTTTTATCGGAGGTTGCCACCTCTGATGCAGGTGACGAAAACAGAATATTCGAGGGGAATGAGCCGTGGTTGGCAAGTAAACGGAAAAAAAAGAAACCCGCAACTGACAAGTGGGGGAAGAAAATTGACCAACCCTGTGAAGATACCTCTGCAGTTTCAGAGGAACCATCTTCAGACGTGAATAGGTATCAAAAGTATCTTCTGTGGAACTATTTGGTTATTATCAGTACTACTGTAATTCTTTGAACATTATCTCACACATTGAGAGTGGTCAATGCCTGCAGATCTGAAGTCAAAGTTGACCCGAAGAAGGTCATGGTAGGAGGCATGCCATACTACATCACGGAAAATGATATACATGAATTCTTTCAGGAGTGTGGAACTATTGCTGAGTTGGACTGCATGACATTTCCTGACACGGGAAAATTTAAGGGCATCGCGTTTATTACGTTCCGGGTAATTTTTCGCTCTACGTCCTAAATCCTGTTTGGACTCGGTTATATCAGTAACGATGTCGATTATTTTGGATACCGTCGCCTAATCCTATCATGCGAATGATGTCCACAATATAGGAAGAACAGATGATTTATTTTAAGTCATATGCTGTCACAAACGAAGATGCTGACGCATGTACCTGTAGCGGCGGTAATATTTGTACGTATTGTAGTGGTTAAGCATGCACCTGATGGCACATTATAGGAAGAACAGATGGCGGCTATTGCAGTCACATGTTGTTATCACGATGATCTCTGATGCATGCCAAGCCCGTAGTAATTACATATCCAGTTCGTAGGATTGGGTGGTAGGTTCTGGTTTGACGTACTGGTGTGCAATGAGGACTCTTTTTTACCGAGATAAGTGGTTTATCCAAGAGATAACCGCTGAATGACCCTACTTCCATGACTCTGATGCATGCTAAGCCAGACAGTTTAGCATATGGAATCTCTTGGACTACCTGCTAGGTTGTAGCCGAATGTGCCCGTGTGCAATGATGACTTACTTTTACAGAGATTGGCAGCTCATCCAAGGGAAAAGCGCTGAATGATCCTACTTCCATGACTCTGATGCACACCGGATTGCCATAATGTAAACGCCCTCGTATCTCGTGAAAAACTCTTCGGAAAATAACGTTCGACCGTATGTCGCTGTGCAGACGGAGGAGGCAGCTAAGAGGGCAATGGCATTAGATGCGGCCGACATGTGAGTTGACGTTCTAGTGGCATCATTTCAGTTATAAGTTTACATACGAGTGAGTTACACCTCAGATTGATGTGGTGATCTTCGGAATTGAAGTTTGATTGCCATGTGCAGGGGCGGGCGATTCTTAAAAATAGAAATGTGCAAGATTAAACCATTAGAGGTAGGAAATAAACCTCTGTTTAAGGAACCTCCTAAAAAGCAACCTGGTTGCCTGGCTGCATACATAGGGAATTTGTCCTACGACATCACAGAGAAAGAAGTTAGAAGATTCTTCAAAGGATGTAAAATAGAATCTGTTAGGTTTGCAGAGAATAAAGAAACTGGAGAGTTTAGGGGATTTGGGCATATCGACTTTGCCGACGACGAATCACTAGAAGCTGCAATGAAACTTGATCAAGAGCCACTTCTAGGTAGGCCGCTCAAAATAGCTTACTCAGTTCCTCAGAAAGACAAGATAATGGGAGTTCGAGGTGGATCGAAGCCAGCAGAAACGAAAAAAGGCTGTTTTACATGTGGAGAGGAAGGACATATGTCCTACAACTGTCCTCTGAAAATTTAGAAACAATATCTGCATTAGTATTTAACCTATACATACTGTTAACCAGGAACTGTTTTTCAATCGTGTTGACGGTGGTCACTAAGCTCGAAAACCGGGAAGGTTGGTTGTTAAACTATTCAGTTTGGGACAAAAATCAGACACGTTGCAAAAGAAGTAGACTAGAACACGGTATGTGAACTTTTAAAGAACCAATGAAAAACTAATTAATAGGATTGAAAATTACATACATGATGTTCTACCGTTTACAAGTTTCATTGTGCGACGTCTCTTAAACAGTTTGAAAAGATTGTACAAACAAATGTAGATAATACAGAAATATATTTTATGCTGTAAGACCTTATTGATAGGTTTTAAATTGTTGTCAAGATTGTGGAGTTCCCATGTTTCATTGAATGATTTTCGATGTTAATAGCTATTGGATTCAGTCCTTGAGACATGTATTGTTGCTTATTCAGACTTAAGCAAATGTAGCATGTAATGAAAGAATAAGGCGGACTAGTTTTTTAATAACTGTAATAACAATTATCACTTGTAATGGTAGTTGATGTTAAAAATTAATAATAATAAAGATTTAAAATTATCTGCAATAATAATAACATGTTATCTAAAATCATACCTATCCATATAAATGTACGTACACCTTTGGCATTCATGAATTTTAGAAAGTGTCAAGTAAAATTCATTGTAAAAAGTTGTGCAGAAAACTGTAAAGCAAAACTTAAAACAATGCTTAACACGTGGAAAGCCTTTCTAGTAAAGAATGGATGAATCTCAACAGAAACCGAAGTCTCAGTGAATGATTGTTAATTAAAGGGAGTTTGAACCCTCATTTCAATTGCACTGATGTACCTTCAACAATTATCTCAACAAATTTCAACTACAAATTTGTTACAAATCTTGACATATTGCCAAAATTCTAATAGTAGTTTCCAATCCATGCTTATATACTCCCATATGCATTTTTATTATATCTCACAAACTAAGTACTCAAATACCATAAAATTTTGATATATAGCTTCTAAACCTAATAACACACATATTTAAAAAATTTGAGCCAATAATTTATCCAAAAATTCAAGATATAGCTACAACCATTATTATCAATAATACAACTTACTACCTTTGAATTACATGTATTGTCTTCAATGCTCTATAGCTCCTTCACAAAAACTCAAAATGCAAAATATTTTTACAAAAAACATAGGTTTTGAAATCACTCTTACAGCTGCTTTTTTTGATCTCTAGAAGCTATTGTACAACTCCTTGTATCTACAAAAGAACTATATAACTTAAAAAGACACCTTAACTTCAAATGGCTATAACTTCATCATCTTAACTCTGAATCCTCTAAAATTTGTATACAAATTGTAGTCCAAATTCTAAACCTTATAATCTTTGCTTTTGAATTTCAAAATGTTTCTTTTTAAGTTGCCAAAATTCTTTTTTTGGTTGCAAATAACCTCTTGAGAGCCTATTAGGTATGGCTTTTGACCAATAGGAATGAAGATCTTCATCCCTTGCCTTCATTCATCCATATCTTGTTTTTATCTCTCCAAATAAGCTTCCTGGAGGTTTGAATCTTCAACTTTGAGCCTCAATCTTATCCTAAAATTTAATACTAAATATCTAAATTTTATAATTAATATAGATAAATATTTTAATAATTTTTTTTATATCAACTCTCTTTAAATTAACCTACTAACCACTCTAATACACATTAATACTTATAAATATGTTATATATTTTAATTAATTTTTACATACTAAAAACAATTATATTACGACATATATCTTTTCCAAACTTGCACATCCTCTAATATAAGCCATGTGCTACTCTTCTTCATCATTTTGAAATTTCTTTGTATCACTAATAGATTCTTCTATTTCATATTCTTACTCTAAATATTGAAGTAAGAATTCTTCAAGGTCTTCTATTTGGAACTGACCATCACTTTTCTTGAAAGCCTTGACCTTCTTCCCTAGTATTGGAATTCTAATGATAGCTCCATTTAATTCACGTAAGATATATATGGCATTATCATAGACTATAACTACCACATATGGTTCAAAATATTTTTTTACAAATTTCTTTATAGTGTTATCTTGATGTTCAAAGCTGCTATCATAAATTAGAATCCAATCTATGATCTCTATAGGCTTAGGCCTCAACTTATGGGTTCTATCAAATCTTTCTTTATTTTTTAATCTTGCTTTCTTTAATCTCTTTGTTGCAATTTTTAGGTCTTTAAATAATATTTCCAATTATTAGATCTCAAGATCTAATAATATTTTTCTATTGATATTATCTTTTTAAGATAAAAACATCTATATAGGATAGGTTTGTTAAGTTAGCATCATTGATATTTGTCCTAATATTAATTCCATAGATATATAATCAATGACAGTATTATGAGTAGTCCGATTAGCCTATAAAGCAAATGGAAGCAATTTTGGCCATTGAATTGGCTTATTCTTATATGCCTTAAACAATATATAAATAATAAGAGTATGACCATTTTCACTCTTCCTATTGGCTTTAGGATTATAGAAGTAGTTAACTTTAATTGAATTCTATACTTATTAAAATAATTTCTTACTTCTATAGCATTCAATTCTCTTCTATCAGCTCTCATCTTCATAATGCTACAAATTTGCTAAAGGTGTCTTCAAGTATAAATCTGTATACTACTTTTGTGGTCTTGGTTCTCAAAACCTTTTCTTCAACATAATTTGATAGCTCTTCTCTTGCCAAAACCAAGTATTTTATATCTCAAAGGCTTGATGGCATAGCTACCAAATCAATCATCTTTTAAAAATATATAGAAGGTGGATAAGTAGGATGTAATCTATCTCTATACCTAACCTTAGACTATAATTAAAACTCTGTACATGAACTCACAAAGTCTTCTACATCCTTGTATTAATCCTTCTACCAATATCTTTTTTTGATTTTAATATATATAGTCCAAACTTCCTTGCGTCCTGCTCAAAGTGTATCATGATATTTTTTTAAAACTTTAAATTTAATTTTAAGGTCACTTACTACCTTCAATGAAATTTTGTCACCTCTTTTTGGTCTCTTCCATAGAAATCTATCTTCAAGTAGATAACCATAGGATTGGTATCTAATATCTTTCAAGATTTTATCCATCCATCCTTTTTGCTTCTTCATTGTGCTCAAATAAATTCCAATAACTTTTAATTTGTCTTCATGTAAAACTTTATAGAAAGTATGAACCTCATCACCAAAATTCATTCTACTGATAGCAAATGAATTCCAACAGCTCTTCTTGTCTTGATCTTCACCTCTCTCATATGCCATCATTTCTTCTTCAAAGGTATACTTAGCTCTAGACAACATATCTGCCACAAAGTTCTCTTTATTAATAATATGCATTAAAACAAGGTTCAATGTACTTATATAGACTATCCATCTTAGCATAGAAATATCTCAAGTAGTGTAGTTAATTAACATTCTAAGTAATGGCAAATATTTTTTTTTCAAAACCATACTTACTCTAATCAAATAATTTCTCTTAGCTTTTAGAGCGGTGAATGCTCTTCAAAACTTTCTTTTAATTTGTGGATAAGTTCTTTGCCTCTTTATAAGAATCTTGACACCAAAACTTTAGCAAATCTTTGCCATTTTACATCATCTTATCCAATAGTCCATCTAATTGCTATAAAACTTGTATCCTTTGTTATAACCAATAGCCTTTCACATTCATAATGTACTTATTTAAGCACAAGTGATGAATTCAACAAATTTTTTAGATTTTTCATAGCTATTTCTTGTTCTTCTTTTCAAACAAATCTCTTATCTTTCTTTAATAACTTGTGTAATTGCATTGAGATATATGCAAAGTAAAGCATGCAAATGTGATAGAATATATATGTATTTAAAAAAAAATTAGCTTCTATAATACTTTTATTAGCCTTTATTTTAGATATAGCATCAATTTTATCAAGGTTTGATTTTTTGCCATATCTATTACATATGTATCTTACCACTAGAATCTTATCAACTCCAAAGCTTGATTTTGCAAAAATAATGTGAGATTAATTGATTCCAATCTCTCCAATATCTTAGCCACATCTTCAATATGCTTCTTGAGATTTTTTTTGTAACCTTCAACTTCCATGATATTATCCTTGTTTTCTTCTCTATCTCTCTTTATAGGTATATCATCTAAAAATGAAATGATTTTTTCTGGTATAATTTTTTTTAATATTTGATTTATAACATTTTTTATATGAGCCACTAAGTTGGTTGTACCTTGAGGTAAGGTACACATCTTCATTAAATCCAAAAGAATCTTCATGGTGGTTAAATTCTTATTATCTTTAGCTAATTAAAATTGATTATATTTAGAATATAAGCCTCTAATAGAATAAATGGCATGACATGCAAATTGTTCAATCACTTCATCTATTACAAGACTTGATTCCATAGTTTAAATAATTATTTTATCTGCTAGTTGTATATCCTAAATGAACCTTAGTACCATTAATTTCTTAGATTTTGTGAACCATCTATTAGATTAAAGAGTAATTGAAGGTTCCAAAATAACCATCTTTATCTTCTCTTTTAATAATTTTATCAATTTTAGAAGCAAAGCTCTAAGTACAAGTATAGGCTTTAAATTCTATAGAATATATGATACTATAAAAATTACTATAGATGCTACAATATTAGGATCCACACATCTAATCTCATTAGAAATTAAGGCAATTGCCTTAGCATGTTCAATATGCATTTTTTGAAACATATTTTTCTTAGTTGATGTAAAGAAATCACTTCCTCCAATCTCTAACTTAGATAATGATTCTTGAGTAAACTTAAAAGTCATTAAATCAATTTATTAATTATTTTAGAATAAAAAGATACATTTAGAATGCTTAAAATTACAATCTATGGTGAGCAATGTATACATTCTTAAACAAATAAAAAATTAGAATGTTAGTTTTAGAAACATAGTCTTAATAAGTCTTGGAGGTAATTATCTTAATTGATTTAATATTTTTACTTATTATTGAGTATCAAAGAATATTTGTTAAGATTAATATTTACATTAGACTTATATCTATATATTTTATGTATAAAAAAAAACTATATTATTTATTAGCTATTATATATTTATAAGATATTATTTATTAATATAAATATAAAAATGATTTATTAGCTATTATTTATTAGATATTATAAATATTATTTAATAATTAGAAGAAATATAAAAAAATACTTCATGTCTTTTTAGTTATTTATTTAAAAATAGGATTTATAATAGATTTAAATTTATTTTATTATAATAAGAAAATATAAAGATAGGAAAATATAGGTTTAAATTGATATTAG